CCACTGTTGCTGTGTATACATCACCGTTAAAGCCCTAAATGGCCTCAGCCCTGTGTACCTGAAGGAGCATCTCCACCCCCATCGTTCAGCCCGGACACTGAGGTTACAGGGAACCAGGCAGAGGGCCTTCTCGGTAGTGGCGCCCGCCCTGTGGAATGCCCTCCCTTCAGATGCCAAGGATATAAATAACTATACAGCTTTTAGAAGACACCTGAAGGCAACCCTGTATAAGAAAGTTTTTAATATTTGATGTTTTATTATGCTTTTATTGGTAGCCGCCCAGAGTGGCTGGAGCAACCCAGCCAGATGGGCAGGGTACTACTACTACAACAAATAATAATAATTGCTTTTTTCAGGGGAAACTCATAGGAACTCAGTTCCAGCACCTCTCAGGGGTTATGGAACTTCTCAGGTGGGTGCCACTGCCATTCTAAGAGAAAGAGGGCGTTCATCATGGGTGTAGCCAGGATTTTTGTTGGGGAGGGCAGACTTTTGTTGGGGGGCAAACCTCAGATTTGTACTGATTTCTATTTATTTTGATTGATTTAGGGTGGTAGCTGCCCCCTGCTTCCCCCCCCCCGGCTACACTGATGGTGTTCATGTTGAGTTCCAGCACCTCTTTTTCTAGAAAAATAACATTAGTTATTATTAATAATATATTATGACTGTGATTTTTATTGAAATTACTAGTGGCACAGATGCTGCCTGGAGTGACCTTGCCCACAATGCTTGATGAAGGACCCAATTCCCCAGAGTGCAGCACTGAGAAGGAAGGGGGGGCAACATTCACAATACCTGCCTCAGGTAGCACAGTTTCGCTGGTCAGAGTAGACATTACAGGGCTAGATGAACAAAAACTTCGATCTGGTGTAATGCAGCTTCCTGTGTTATTCTGAAAGAGCCTGGTGCAGCATGTGCAAGCATCATCAAAGAACGGAAAGAATAGGCTTTTGAAATATTGTGTTATGCTCATGCAAATGTTTGAAGGCCTAATGAATGCATCAATTAATGGGCTAAAACAGAAGCCGTATAATCAGGCAACCAAGGTGTCTTTAATTGTATGACAATGTACACATAAAGACTCTGCATGAGCAGGGGCTATCCTGGTCACTTTAATATCAGAGAAAGCTCCAGGGGCAAATGTACTTATTTGTTTTTAAAGAGTAAAGGTAAAGGTAAAGGGACCCCTGACCATTTGGTCTAGTCGTGACCGACTCTGGTGTTGCGGCGCTCATCTCGCTTTATTGGCTGAGGGAGCCGGCGTACAGCTTCCGGGTCATGTGGCCAGCATGACTAAGCTGCTTTGGCAAAATCAGCAGCGCACGGAAATGCTGTTTACCTTCCCGCCAGAGCGGTACCTATTTATCTACTTGCACTTTGACATGCTTTCGAACTGCTAGGTTGGCAGGAGCAGGGACCGAGCAACGGGAGCTCACCCCATTGCGGGGATTTGAACCACCAACCTTCTGATCAGCAAGTCCTAGGCTCTGTGGTTTAACCCACATCGCCACCCACATCCCTTTTAAAGAGTATAGCAGCCTAAAACAATAAAGCATACATACAATAAAAGCTAATCCACAAAATGCAATAAATACCAACTTCATGACCCCTCCAAAATCTAAAAGCAATCAAACAACTTATCAACAAGACAAAACAAATAAATAACAACTTGACACCTAAGTGGAAGCACAGGGAAAAAACCTGAAAATATGTATAACAAAGAAATTAAAGTTTTTCAGCTGAAGGCTGAAAAACAACAACCTGAAAAACAACAACCTGCTTTTGGTCAAACACCTAAAATCATAAACTGCTACAGAGAATTTCCCCAAAGTGGATCCAAGCACCTTCTGCTTGCATGTACAGGTCTCTCTACTCAATGTAGTCGCTGGACAGACCTCAAAACAAAGCCAGAGAGATAAGCCAGAGAGATCTGGCTGCTCAGATACCCTTTGTTTTCTCAATTTTGGGGGCGGGGATGGAAGAAAGTGATTCAGTCAGTACACTGTCCTCCTAAACGCTGACACTTTTTTTCTTCCTGAAACTCAATCTACTGACTTTTTATTTTTAAAGCTATCAATATACAGTATCTTTGCCAAATGGTACAAAATACTGTTATTTTGCTCCTTGCTTTACACCCTGCGGTGTGGCACAGATACAGACAAATATCCCCTTGCAAAGAAACATTTCCAAGACAAAGACAGAGAGAAGCAGAAAGACAAATCTGCTTCTTTCATTCTCTCCAGCCCTAATCCTGCTAATATATTTCTCTAAAGAATGCAAGGACTGGTATTAACTTTTTTAATTTTGCAAATGAGGACATTAACAGGGTTTTCATTTGGGGAGTTGAAAAATGGCACAATCATAGATGGGTGCTATCTATCCACACACACACACACACACAGAGAGAGAGAGAGAGAGAGAGAGAGAGAGCGAGAGAGAGACTTTCATAAATATTGCTTTCCCATAATGATGTATAAAGAGGTATTTATTTGAGCGTTGATAGGAATGAATGGTACAAGCTCTCTTTCCAAGTGAATGAATTGCCAAATTGCAGGCAACTGGGCAATTTTCTGTAAAAAAAGGAGGTTTTCCTGTGAAGGCCTTCACTTACTAGGCACCACTTCTAACCTGGTAGGTGGCCCTCTCGGTGCAGAGTGTGATGACACAATGAGCTGAGAGCAAAGAATCTCGCAACTATTATTATCAACAACAATAATTATTAGTACAATTTCAAGCAACAGAGAGCATGTGCTTCTGCGTTCACAATATCAACAGCTCCATTTGCACACTGGGGATGCACACACACAGCTGCCCTGCAACTCCACGTGAACATCAGAGCCACAGTGCACAGCCCTCTTCTCCAACCTCCAGGTGTTGATGTATGGTCAATGGTCAGTTGGGAATGATGGAAACTGCAGCCCCATGGCATTAATTTTAGCAAGGATTAAAGGGACCCCTGACCATTAGACCCAGTCGTGGAAGACTGGGGTTGCGGCGCTCATCTCGCTTTACTGGCTGAGGGAGCCAGCGTACAGCTTCCGGGTCATGTGGCCAGCATGACTAAGCCGCTTCTGGAGAACCAGAGCAGCGCACGGAAACGTAGCTTACCTTCCGCTGGAGCGGTACCTATTTATCTACTTGCACTTTGACGTGCTTTCGAACTGCTAGGTTGGCAGGAGCAGGGACCGAGCAACAGGAGCTCACCCCATCGCAGGGATTCGAACCGCCGACCTTCTGATCTGCAAGTCCTAGGCTCTGTGGTTTAACCCACAGCGCCAAGTATAATTATATTTAGTATATATTAAGTATATACAAAACGTACGGGGGAGAGAAAGGTAAGCCCTAGTGGAACAGAGATAATTAGAAGCTTATGGGAACAAATGGCAAGTTAACAATTACGTGAAAGAAGCAGAGGGATTACTGAGAAAAACGGAAATAATTGAAGTCGTTCATGTAATGTAGTACGATTGCATCTTATGCCGCGGTTCGGTTCCAAGGAGTTCTGTGTAAAGGCAAAAACACCTATAGAAACTCTCCATTTGTGTGCATTGGGGATGCACACACACACCGTTTTGGGGAGTGGAATGGCGGTGAATGGGCTTGTGTGCGCCTGCTGACACATGCATTGGCCCTGACGCAACCCCTGTGCAAATGGGGAGTTGCCTGTATACTCAAACCCTTGAAACCACCCCGACACAAGCTTCCCAGGACTTCTGCAGGAGATACATCCCACAACTGGGGTCTAGCAATGCTACATGATTAACGCCTAGCTCAAGCCCACTGGGCTTCTGAAACACATTGATGTTTTCATTGAAGTCATGGAGGAAGCAAGCGACAGGAGAAATGGCCTGCATCTGGCCCAATTCCACTGTGCAACAGCCATCAGACTAGCTCAGGTTTTGGTGGATCTTGGGCTACCTCAGCCCCTGCTTTGGGGTTTTCAACCGGCTGCATATCCCACCAATGACACTCCTGGTTGCCTATTTGCATGTGGAAGGGGGAGTGTGGCACTGGTGGAGTGACCCTTGCGACCAGGAGAGCTGAGTGGAAGGACACCTCTTCCAAATCCAACACACACAGACAACACAGAATCAAAGAACTGTAGAGTTGGAAGGGACCCCGAGGGTCAACTAGTCCAACCCCCTGCAATGCAGGAATCTAAAGGTGTAAGGGTGGGGTGGATTGCTTGGTTAGGACTGTGGCATTGTTTTGTAACCTGCCCTGGGACCATCCAGGGAAGGGCAGGTTGTAAAGATAAGCAAACAAAAGTTTGCAATCTCACACACCCACACATCTATTTACACTTCCAAAGCTGCGTGCGGAGGTGAGCTTGTTAGGATGCATCTGGGGGGAAATATAAACCCACCGAAAGGCGGGATCATAAAATATTTAGTATATGCTAATGCAAATCAAAAGGCAACATAGGAAATGAACGACTCAGTGGCTCCAACGTTAACGAGCTGCTTTGAGAAAACAGCCACCTGGTTGGGAACAGAGGGAATTTGTCTGGCTCCGCTGAAGAAATTCCTGTTCAACGAGCCAAAACACATCTCCCTCTTTTCGTGTTCCAATTCTCTAAATGGAAAAATGAAAGTGAGGCCATATCCACCCAATGCATTTAAATCAGTATCAGACCACTTTAAATGCCCCCCCCCAAGAATCCTGGGAACTGTAGTTTGCTGAGAGCCTGTTTGGAGACCTCTATTCCCTCCTAGAGCTACAATCCCCAGAGTTCAGAGAATTCCCTCTTCTGAGGGAACTTGAGGAATCGTAGCTCTATGAGGCAGCAGAGTCTCCAAACAACTCCAAGCAGTCTTAACCAACTACAGGTCCCAAGATTCTTTGAGGGAAAGCATGACTGTGAAAGTGGTACCACAACGCTTTAAAAATATAGTACGCAAGCAGCCCCACATTAGCTCTGGCCCACTCACTTTCCCACATGCACTTTGCCCAGGTGTGCCTTTTTTTGACACAAATAGAAATAACCACATTCTACTTACTTGGGACCCCGAGCAACCTGGGGGGTGGAGGAGGCGGTGGCGGTGGCGGTAGCGGAGGTGGTCTACATTGGCAGATCTGTTGGCAACTGTCTGTAACTTTCTCTGTTACTGGCTTGGCGCATGATTTCTGGGGTTCACCCTGAGTGATCTGAAAAGGGGGAAAATAGCAAAAAAATCCTGACTGGTTGCATGTCTCCTGGGTTAAAGCATTCATACTGCAAGGATCCAAGGCTAGCAATTCATCCCTCATATTTGCAGAGGATGTTCATGGGCAATGCATGTGATACGATTCTTCAAATTCCTCCCCTGGCTTCCTGCTCCTTCTGGGGTCAGTACAACCACCTTGTCCTTATCTTTAAAGCATTCCAGAGCAGCTCTTAGTTATTGCAGGGTGAGTCCTTTAAAAGAGGCCCTGAGGATACAGAGTACACATATTCCACGCGGCCTCTTTTAAAAGACCGACCATGTAGCTTGTTGGAGAATTTTTACTCCGCAAAAAGAACTCTTCCGCAAAAAGAAGAAGCCCCCCCCCAGCAACTTGCAAAGATAAGGAATAAGAATTCCTTGCCCTCAGGCACATGGCACAAAAGGGATGTGTGGGGAGCAAATTCAGGTTTTTACTTTTGGTGTTAGCATAATAGCATAGCCAAGTGTAACTGAAAGATTTCGAAGAAAGGAATAGCCAAAAGTTGTAGCACAGCTTGATGGAATAGCTGCTGTCAGGCAACAGATGAAGGAGGGTGAAGCCTGATGGAACTGGCTGATGGTGACTGTCTCTGCTGAATCCCAATTTGTTTGTGGCAATTGCATTCAATACAACTGTGGTGAAGCTGTAACACTCAGGGGTCTTTGAGGTGGGAATCCACTAGCCTGAAAGAAGGCACAATGGGTCAGTGCATCTAGATGTTGAACTAACGTTACCAGATTTTTTCCAGTGAATCCAGGGACACTTTTCAACTTCAATGGATTTTGTATGGGGACTGATTTGTAAATCTGGGGACTGTCCCCAGGAAACGGGGATGTCTGGTAATCTTATGTTAAACAGAAGGTTGGGGGTTCGAGCCTACTCAGAGACTGCTGTGGGCAGGGTTCCTGAATTGCAGGTTGGACTAGATGAGTCCCTTCCAATTCTATGAAAGTCATAAAGTGTCCCATGATATTTTCCTATGGTTAATAAATGAACAGACCGCTCTTCTTCCCAGGCTGAGAGGAAAAATAGTGAAAACAGGTTATTTATTGGGACAGAGTGACTTTTGCAGCTGTTGTTAAAGCTGCAAAACAACGAAGCACAGGATGGAGCGATGGATAAATTTCTGGAACAACAACGGGATATCAGCTCCGCCCAAGGCATGACGGATAACAGCAACAACCGGGGGAAATAAAGATGTAACATCTTACAAGGACAGGAAGAAACACCACAGACAGAATAACTGCCACACACAGGAAGAACAAATATATAGTTTGAGTTCCTCACCTGTAGCTTTATAAATCATTTAATGTGTTAACATGAAAAGAAGTTATGAATATTGCAGTTGTTGTATAAGGCATGATTATGATGACAAGAATGTAATGGAAATTAATAAGATTTTGGAATGCAGAAATAAAGCAAATAGTTAATCCATTAAATCTAGCACACGGGGGGGGGCACTTTATCTAAATTATATAATTCGGTATTTGAAAGATTGGTATTAATAATTGTATTATAAATTGGTATTGTTATAATGAGGCTATTATTGAATTGCAATTGAAAAATAATAAAAATATTATTTTTTTTAAAAATGAACCTTTGCCCAAGAGATCTGTTTCAGCCTTGTTAGAAGAGGTCTTTAGAGATATTTGCTGTGATGCCCCTCTTCCAAACCAGATCAATTCAACATTCATCTAGGTGCAAAAATACATACAATCAGTGCTTTTTTCAGCCTGAGTGTGCCAACACCTCTCAGGTGGGTGCCATTGTGGGCCGGCGGGCCCCTCACCTGCTTCTTGCCTTTATGTACTTCTCAGAAGATGAAAACAAACAATTCAAGTCTAAATGGAACACTTTTTTTTAGATCCATGACTCCACCTAGCTCCTAGCTATTCCTAGCCATGATTGGTTAAGCTATAGGGCGGGGCCAATTTGTATTTCCTTTTTCTTCAAACCATATCCCATTCAGCCTCTACTGTTATATGCATGCACATTTGCATGAGGGCCCTTCTGAGCTGTCCTAGCCATCTGCCTGAATCTAAGAGAACGAAGGAGGCCAGGGCACATTTGTTTGACCTGCACCAGAACCAGGGGCGACCCCCAAACCAGCTTGCCACACCTCCGCGCATTTCTATTTTTCTAGAAAAAGGTGCTGGACCTCACCATGAATGCCCCCTGTTCTCTTATCATGGCAATGGTGCCCACCTGAGAGGTGCCAGAACTCAGATCTGGCAAGTTCCAGCTGGAAAAAAATCCCTCCCACCATGGCTATTGTCAAGCCAGCATCTGTTCAGGGTTGCCTCAAGTCGCCTGGCGAGTTCTGGCACCTATTTTTCTTGAAAAAAAGCACTCTACACAATGCAAATACAGTGGTACCTCGGGTTAAGTACTTAATTCGTTCTGGAGGTCCGTTCTTAACCTGAAACTGTTCTTAACCTGAAGCACCACTTTAGCTAATGGGGCCTCCTACTGCCGCTGTGCCGCCGGAGCACAATTTCTGTTCTCATCCTGAAGCAAAGTTCTTAACCTGAGGTAATATTTCTGGGTTAGCGGAATCTGCAACCTGAAGCGTATGTAACCTGAAGTGTATGTAACCCAAGGTACCACTGTATATGGAACTGATGGGTGGTTTTAGAATTGATATATTCTGTGACTGGGGGGTGGGGGTGGGCAAGGACACCACAGTTGCATCAGTAATAGGTTTGCATTTTCTGCTGTGTTACCTGAAAAAGCAGGCCTGATTCAAAGGAACTTACAGTAGATGTATCTAAATGCCACTGAAATCCATCAGGCTTAATGGTGTGCAGTAGTGCTTTGCAGTGCAATGCTATTCTTCAAATACCCAGAAGTACATCCCATTGTGCTCAGTGAGACTTTCTCTTAGGTAATTGTGGATAAGATTCCAGGTTGCAAACCTGTATTTGTTTACTAGGGCGTAAGCCCCATTGAATTTGATGGGATGCACTTCTGAGGATTGCAGCTCAAGCCTCCTTGAATTCAATGGGCCTTGGGCATACCTATCACATTAGGGATTGTACCCAAGAACTCAGATAATTTATGTATATGCCTTTCCAAGGCAGCACTTTAGTATGTTATTTAATGCAAGTTAAGTGCAGTTCTCAACAGGAAATTATATTTTAAAACACACACAACTCAGACCCATCGCAGGAATATGTGAAGCATGGAATTAGGAGTGACCTCTCAAGTCATTTTAGTTGAACATTCATGTGGTTATTATATAATGTTAATCCTTTGAAAAAGGAACCAAAATTTCTTCAACCTCCTTGCTAACAGCATCAAAATTACATACATAGAATGTACACTCCTCTAGTTAAAGTTTTTAAAAAAGACAGAAGGAAAGAAAGAATGAGTACAATGTAGTTCATCACATGCCCAGATGCAGAAATTTAAAGCTTTCTTTCTCTGATGCCTTGGAGATAGCATTTTGTACCTCAAAGTCCTGAGGGTAAGAAATACACACACATATATAGAAAGATGCTATGCTTAGCTGAACTGCAAAGAATTTCCAAACAACACATGTAAACAAACTTTCGGTACTTTAAATAGCTTGTCAGAGTCTATTACCATACATAGGAAAGACCAAATTTAATCACAGAGAGTATGCCAACATTCCTCTTATGGTTAAAGAATAACAAATCCCTATTGTGTTAAAAAGCCTGGAAAAAGTTCTGAGGATTCTTTGCTGCCAACATAGTAAATACTGTTGATCGCTCAACCACAATTAAAAGAACTGGAGCTGTTCTTTTGTTCTTTGTGGGTTTTTAACCATAGTTTAGGGTTACATCTACTGCAGGCACTAACCATGGTTAACACCAAACCATGCCTGCACAATTTGTGACCCACTCACCACATACTGTGGTCTGCCAGGTATTTGACAGCCCCTTGGGATGTATAGTCTCAGAAAGGCAACAAAAACAAGAGATTTATAAGGGCTACATGGAGTATAGGACGCAAACATATACAGAGTCACAACACTGGTCCATTTAGCTCGGTATTATTTACATTGGCCGGTTATGTTGGCTGTTTAGCCGTAATAATAAACATTCACATTGACCGGCAGTGGCTCTCCAAGCTTTCAGAGAGCAGACATTCCCCACCCTACTTGAAGATGTCAGAGACTGAATCCAGCACCTTCTGCATTTAAAGCAAATGCTCTCCTCCTGATCTATAGCCCTTCCCCTTCTATGGCGGCTAAGAACGCATGACTAGTGGTTGGTAAATCACAAGTTGCGTAGGCCTGAGTCGCTTTTGACGAGGGTTTGGAAAACCTCCTTCAAATCCCCGCTTCATATATTTCTTAAGTTGGGAGGACTGGTTAGCATCAACCCTCTTTAGCATCTGTGCAGATGAGACGTTGTTAAAGGGAAGAAGACAAAGAAGTGGAAATTCACACTGCAGGGAGCTTGTGAGTGGTCAGTCTGTTTCTGACCCCTTTACCATCATGAGATTAGCAGACTTACATCTGCACAAGGCCTATCTCATGCTCTCATAACAAGTGACCTCCCCGGGGCCTAGTATGGAGGTCCTAGGCTGCCCAGATGACAGGACTCCCCTCTCGGCCTCACTGATGTGGTCCAAATGAAAGCAGAACAATACTTTGGCACCAGATTGGCTGCAGGAGTTGCCGGAAGGAGGCATACAAAGTTCCACCCAACTGTCTTGGGGAATCTGGATTTGTGTAGGGTGAAGCAAGGTTGCATTCTGGCTCCCGCTCTTATAAACTGTTATATTAATGATGGACGGGGTGAGCTCCCGTTGCTCGGTCCCAGCTCCTGCCCACCTAGCAGTTTGAAAGCATGTCAAAGTGCAAGTAGATAAATAGGTATCGCTCCAGTGGGAAGGTAAACAGCATTTCCGTGCGCTGCTCTGGTTCACCAGAAGCAGCTTAGTCATGCTGGACACATGACCCGGAAGCTGTCTGCAGACAAATGCCAGCTCCC